AGGAATGCCTGTTTGAGGCAGAGAATAAGGCAGGGTTTCCACACGGGACATGCTTTCAGCTAAGGGTTCTAGTTAGCATAGATACAGAGTGCAGACCATGGACTGGGTTATCAGCATTCTCTCTGGTCAAAATCTTCTGTACCCTCATAGCTGAGGATGTCACCTGTGAGGTGGAAGAGATGCATTTATTCCACTATCACAGAAATCTAGGATTTCAAATATAGGAAGGAGGGTTCAGTCACTAGAAAAGGCATTTAAAATAGGTTTTCATTTATTACTTTGTTACAAAGAAAGCATTTCATATTTCTGCTTGCTGGCTATTTTTGCTATGTCCTCTATTTAACATGCTGTCAGTGGATCAACATGTTCTGCTTGACTTAATTTCTTTTTTTTTCCATTCACAGCTAGATTGTTCGGGTAGCAAGGTCATTTGCACAGAATATCTCTATGTTTTGACGCTGATGCCTGAAACTTGTATTCAGCTACATCAATCATACACTATTATCCAGTTATGTACTGTTTAATGAGATTGTAATTTCACTGTGTCCACGTAAGGACAGTGTTACATCCTTTGTCTTCTTTAAAAGAAGAAATTGACAACAGTTCAAAATCTGTTTGTTTTGTGAAATAAAAATAACTACATCGAACGTTAATGTTTCCTTCTCAGTTTGAACAAGTATTTTCTATTTTTTGCAGGCATTTTTAAGTACAGAGTGATACATTATACTTCACCAGTACTACCAGAAACTTTCATTTTTATTATAAATTCTTGATGCTTCCCTTACAAGCATTTTTGGAGATTAATCCTCTGATTTAGAGAGCTGATCTAAATACAACTAACAGTCACAGAGATAGCAGCTGAAGATTTTATGATCACGATCCATTATTCCTTTCTTGTAAGTCTCTAACATTTTTGGTTTTTTTTGCAAAATCATCTCAGTAGCAGCTGGCTTTAGGCGTTGGATCAAAATATACTGTTAATAATTTATATATTGGTGATGGTTATTTTTTTTCCCTTTCCACTCAATTGAAACTTCACTTATATTTTCCTTTTGAGACAGATTGTAGGCTGTGATAACGCTGTATGTGATCTTGGCAAGTACAAGCAAGTGATACTAGTATGGCCCCTCTCTCACTGTTTTGTTTTGGTTTTTTTCTGGGCTTGCTAACACCTTTGTAAAATGCTTCTAATGCATTGGCTGCACTTGGTTGCAGAAGATTGAGTGGAAGCTAGGTTAACATTAGACATAGACAAAAGCTTGTTTTATCAGTTTATAGGAATACTTCTAAAACCAGAATAATTAATTAAATGGTTGATATTTCATGCTACCGGTCAGTGTGTGATTTAGATCAGAATAGTATTCTGTAGAAGATTCATATAAATTCTGGAGTTGACTACTCTAGTTGACAAAACCACATGATATTACACTATGATGTGTTAAATTCACTTGTCTTAAGGATTAGTGAGAACTGTTTGGTGAACATGTGTGGTTTGATTTAGTTATGCTATCTGAAAATTTGCTGATACTACTGACAATTACTTTCTCAATGATAGCAATTACATCTTTAGTGTGTGAAGGAAGCTTTTCAGTACTCTCAGTGAACATTGACTAAGATTTGAAGGGCAATATCTTTATCAACTCCCTGATATCTCTGGGCAACAGAATCCTTCAATTTCAATGGAGAACTGAATGAGTACACTTGAATGAGTTGCAGGTACTATCTCAGCAGTAGGTTTTTGGGGATTGTATTTTAGAGGATTCTGGTTGTGAGTATTTGGACAAGAACCAAGATCTGCATAAGCAGGAGTGTTTGAACCTCCTAATTCTGAATGCTTTGGTTTGGGGATTATTTTTTTTTTTTTTTGCATTCAATGCAGTAATAATTTTGCTGTATTTCCTATTTGTTTCTCATGAAAATTGCCTTGTTTAATGTCTACTTGTTAGTTAAGCTTCTTGTATCATAAGAACCAGTAGCAATGCTTGGGTAACCTGTGGGATGCTAGTGGGAAAGTGTGCCCATGCTGTATGCTGCTGTAGTACAGTAAGCAGCCTCATTCTCCAGCTTACTTTCTGTGAACTGGCTGCATAACTCAACAATAGAAAAAACATGCCTCCTCTCTTAGAGTTTTCTTTGGAGTCCTCTCCTGAGGACCTGTCAGGAAAAGAAGGTGTCCATAATGACAGTGTCTCTACTAGCTGTCTACAGAAGAACTCATTCCTGTGTTTTCATTTGTTAACCACAAACACAGTATACTTCTACAAAAGGTGCCTTAGCTCTGTATGGCATCACTGTGTAGGAGAATTAATCAATATCTGGATGTTTCTAGCAATCATCAAGCAAGGCAAGCAGGAAAATTCTTGTGCTATTATGTATAGCATGAACCCATCTCCAATAGGATGAATTAACAGCTACTTCCCCACTCTCTTGCTTATTTCAAATGAACCTCTCCTTTGCACCCATACATCACACTTACCCATTCATAACCTAATAGAGATGTCCCAGCACAGTAACTTATGGCAATTCTTTCATGTGCTTAGCCAGAAGGGTACACACTTGGCAAAGGAATAGCCATGAATTCATACTAATTAACCAACTTCTGGTTTAATTTTGTGCTGATGATCATAAATTTATCTGGTTTTAGATGTAGAGAGTCTGCAGTTCTGCTACCAAAATATGTATCTGTATATATGTATTTTTTAAATCTTGTTAAGATATAAGTAAGAAAAAAAATTATTTTACTCATCTCCAGCAAGAAGGTATTATTCAGAACCTTCCTCTCTTATGAGTGAAAAGAGATTTACAGTGAGTCAGGTCAAACTTTATAAATGTTCTTAGTAAGTAAACCAGAGTGCATCAAATCCATGTTTTGTGGACTAGATCAGGAACAAAAAGGCTATTTACTGCTTTCAGCTTCCCAGACTGCCTTTCTAGCCAGGATTAATACCATTTTCTAGTTAGGATGCCTTTTCTGTTTTGTCTCCTACTCCATTACACACTGTATCAACAATGTCAGAAGTCAAAGGCTATAAAGATATAAAATACTTAAAGACATGTAAAGTCACAGGGAGAAAAGGAGAGAGAACTAAAACCATTTGAGAAGTTGTAGTTCAATTAATTACATTTAAAATGTAAATCTAGTTGAACTCATTTATCTCTAACAAGAACACATAATGGTTGAGGTTGGAAGGGACCTCTGGAGGTCATTTTGTCCAACCCCCTGCTCAAGTAGGACCACTTAGACCTGGCTGCTGACAGAAACATGTCTAGATGTTTTTTTAATATCTCTGTGGAGGGAGACTCCACAACCTACATACAAAAATGTATGAGCAAAAAATAATTATTTGCAACACAGTTAGATTTGTAAACATAAAATGTAGTATGAAATTGTTCTTCACACATCTCCTTTCTTTGTTCTATGCATGCCAAGTTTTTGTATGCGTTCTTTTTGTATTGGCTGAAATGCAGTAAGAGACCTCTAAAGTGTGCTAATACAGAATAAGAAACTTATTTCAGAAAAATATTTTTATTAGTATTTAGCAACGAAATTTAGTTAAATGTATAAAAACGTGAAAAAAAAACCTATTTCCCGTCTGAAGTTTAGAGGAGATACGCTGAAGGCTATCCACATCATTTACCAGCAGAGGAGTCCTCTGCTTTCTGTGTTATTTAGGCACCTGAATTAAGATGACTTTTCTCCTGTGTGTCTATTTAAGTGTAATAAATAAAGATTTCCCCATGGATGAACCTCCAGCAGCTTTGTTAAAACTGATTCTCCAGCGGGAAACTGGCAAATAATTCCAAAGCTCAAATTGAAAATACCAGTTATTCACAGTACAGTGGTTCTTTTTTTTTTGTTCTTTTTTTTTTCTTTTTTTTTTTTTGCTTAGGGGAATACTTTGTTTATCACATTTGGAAAGTTAGAGAAGTTTATCCAATAAAAAAAGATTCTGTTCTGTGAGGTAAAACTAGTATTTATTTAATACTAGCTCTTACAGATAGAAGATCTTATGGTCTGTCTTTTTTTAAAAAACTTGATCTAGTCTCCCAAATTTTGTTTGTCTGGGTTTTTTCAGATTGGGATGGTGAAAAAGTAAAGTTCTTTTCTCCTTTCTGTCCTTTCCCAGACACAAAGCCACAGAACCATCTTAACTGTATTATAAAGGCCAAAATGTATTCCTTCTACTCTAAAAGCTTTATGTATAAAGCTATTTTAATTTTAGCTCCTTACAGGTGTAGGGCAAATGGAGGTAAATTCAATCCTGTTACACAGAGGAAAATTGAGGTTAGTTGCTGCACTTCTCAGCTATGAACTCTAGTGGTCTAATCAAGATTTGATAATATACAATGTTTCCATCCCCTTGGAACAGCTGCATGGACATATATAAAAAGATCAATATCTTAGTTCCTGCACGTTATTCTATGATGGCCTATGAATTTAAGTGCATATGTTAATGAAGATATCATTAAATCAGACTAAAGACAAGGACCACATTTCTGATGTACCACATTCAGAAGGAGGTACGTCTTTCCCATTGTTTTTTTTAGTACAGATCAAGTTGGAAATGTATTCAGGAATACTTAATGAAACTGAACACTTCAAAAAGCCAGGTACTTTTGCAGCTTTTTTCGTCCAGCATCTTAGAGGCTCTTTGCTATCCTAGACATAGGGTCATGACTTGTCAATGAGCACTGCAATGTCAGATCCGTGCAAATTAGTCAACTTGATCACAATGCAGAAGTAAAATCATGTCAATAAATATTTGATCCTACAAAACAAGTATATTTGCTTGTAACTTTAATACTTTCTGAATTGTTTTAGATATTATGTAAAACTGACTCCTCTACAGGATAAAATTTTATCTCAGAAGAAAATTAATAGCGTTGCTGTTGCCTTCAATGGAATTGGATTCTACTCAAAGTATGACAATTATGCTTAACAGAAATTAATCCAACTGCTTACTTGATCTTTGGTTTTTGATGAAGAACAGCTTTAGTCTCTCTTTAAATGTATTTTCATTCATATAGAATTCAACTTGCACCCTGAAATATAAAAGGAAGTATTAGAATTGAATATGAAAGATAATAAATTATTTTTTCAAAATAATTTGTTTCCCTAATCATCTATTCTTTATATATAACTGAAGGAACATACAGTGTTCAGCCAAAAGCTCACTTGGATCTGAATGACTAATGATAAAAGATTAAAAAATAAAACAAAACAAAATAAATAAACTAAAAAAACTTCAGTTTATCGCCTTTACATGCAGAATCATTTTCACACTATTTGGACACTCTGCACCGCAAAATTAGAGCCATCTACATTTTGTAATTTTCATTAGAAGAGTATTCTCATATCTGCATCTTCGTAAGGAAGATGTCCTGGATGTTCAGGTTAAACCTTCCATCTCAGCTTAACTCCTGTCTTGTAAAATTGACATTTTAATGATTCTTCTTCTTTCTGTCTTGTTTACATCTCTAAGCAGCCGTATCTCAGTTAAGTGTTCACTTGTTTATGTTCACCTTTAATCAAATGCTCATGCACCAAACAAGCCACCCTTTCTGAACTTCGCTTTTGTCACAATGAAATACTGACACCTGAACGCAAAATTATATTGCAACCATACAATATTGTAGAGAAATTAACTCCCTTTCCTGATTAAATTAAAGCAACAGTAACATCTTTTTTCCTCCCTATGTATTTCATGTTTCTGTCCCTCAATTCAGTCTGAGTACAACTCATGCAATTGTTCTACAGACTAGAACAGAGAAGAAAACTGTAGCAGGGGCTGGCAAGGGGAAAGAAGGTGTCCACTAGTTTTATAGAAAGAGTCAGGCCATTTGAGAGTTGCGGAACTGCCCCTTGCTGTAGGATGAGTGCAGCATTAGTTCCATTTCCACTGAAGTCCCTGCTCTACCCAACTGACTGGATCTCCCTCACCAGCCCCAGTTCTCCTCCAGCAATGAATCATTTTACCCAGCATAATCTCTGTGCCTTCTTGAGAAGCCAGTGCACAGTTTGAGAACTGTACTACTATTGCTCAGAATAAAGTGATCTCACGAAAGTTACTTCCTTACTTTCTCTGTATACCATTACGTGTTGCAAAATTGCATATACCTCTTCTGCTCATAGGTATACTTGATCTGTGTTTGAGAATTTCTTTTTAGCAGTCTGTTTTTCATCAAATGACTGTACTTGAATTACGTGTTCTTATATGTACTGTCATGTTTTTCAAGCAGGATCGTGACTTTAGTTTTTCCCTTCTTGCATGTGAAGCCTTTGGTGATAATTTTTTTTTGTAATCTAATGTTATCTGTAGTCTCTCTTCCCCTCAAATACTTGTCACTTATGGAACTGGAAGATTATTTAGTTATGGGCCCAGAATGGATAGCATCTCGGGCTTTTTTATGCTTGCTTGCTTATTACCAGAAGTTTAGGCATATCACTTTGTAGAACCAGGTCAGCATGCCATAAAAAGAAGGCTCTCAATGACTCACTTGGTGAGGTCAGTTAATTTTAGCTAGTCACTTAGCTTTGGTGTGGTTTATTGTCTTGTTCCTTGTAGAATGGAGAATTACACTGTTTCCTATTCAGAAGATGCAAAAATATAAGCTTATTTTTAAGAATCTTTATGGGAACTAAGCTCTATAATTTACAGAATTTTGAATTTATTTCTGTGCAATGTTTGACACAGTGGTAAGAGCAACCCCTACCCTAGACTGCCTTTTCTGCCCTATCTATGGTTAAGATCTTTAAGCAGTTGGAGGAAGTTAAAGAGGAAGAACCCATCTGCCCTCTGTTTTTTAAACTAAAGACTAGCTGCAACTGCATATTTCAAAGAGCTTGGGCCCAGAAGAATGTCCTAGAAACTGCCACCAAACTAGAGGAAAAGACCATCAGATGAAGAGCAACTTGTTTCTGGGCTTTTATTGAGCTTAAATATAGACTAAGTGTTGTGCTGTTCAAGACTGCAGGAGCTGCTGCCATTAACAGAAGTACCATTTAGATGGCTGGTAACCTTAAGGCACGTTAAGGAAGCACGTCCAGGGGTTAATTAGTAAGTTTGTGGGGGCCTGAGCTCTGCTTCAGTTCTTTTCTGCACATTTCTCAAGGTACTTTCTGTCGTTAATGCAGTGACAGTTTTAGTGGGAAACATTTCCCATGATTTGGCAGCTGCCACATGGTAAGAGTGTATGCTTAGTCTTCAAGGATATATTTCAGTAGGTAAACAAAGTGGCACAAGCTATTGAAGTAAAGGATGTTCTTTAAAAGGAGCACAGTATTGGTGATCTTTTTTTACACATTTTAAATTAATCTCTCTGATTTTTCAGTAAGAAAATTACAGTAGTCACTTATCATGAAAGAACAACATGTTAACAGTAAGCCATGATTTAACGACAATGAGGAAAGAGGATGTGGGAGCTAATCATCCTCCTATCACTACCATTATGAATTGCTCTTGTAGCCTTCTCACAGCTGTCTACTTCTCTTTCCTTAGCAACCTGTGCTCGCAGTAGACTGGGATTCCACAGTGCAGCAGTTTCCATGGCAAAATGGATTATGAATGCTGCTAACAACTCTTCTGTGGCTCAGCTCCTCCTTCTCCTTCCCCGACTTTTTTAAACTTAAGTAAAACCTATATCAGCCTTCCACATTTGCAGGAAAACACATTATTGTGCATTTATAGTCAATGTACACTTTCATGATACTCTGACTACCAGACAAAGATATTTCCCTTTGTTTCTTAAAGGTTACTGTTTACTAAGTAAAGCCAAGAATGAATGGCTGAAGGAGTCACTGGCAGGGATAAGGACACAAACCTCCAGAAACTGTTCCTTCCCAATACTCTGCTTTTTATTTTTAGGGAGAATGCTCATTCTATTTGAACCTTTGTTGTAATCTTCTAATGATTAAAATTTTACCTCAAGTCTTTTTCCCACTATGAAGTGTAACCTAGAAAAGGAGTCTTTTGGGAACCTAACACAAATGCTGATCCTCACTTGCAATATTAAGATCATTTAGTAGTAGCAGTAGTAGTACTGAAGAGCTTGAACAAGGTTTTTCTGGACTTAATTAAGTACAAGTTAGCAAGGATGTTTCAAGTGAGTGACTGAAATTCATTGCCACATACTTATATAAAATTTATTACTCTGTTGCAGGATTAATACTAGTTGGAATTTGATTCCATGCAAATGTTTTGATGAAATAGCCCACATGCAGTCCAGGGTGATAGTAGATGCATACACAGGTCATCTGCCCTATGGAATAGGTTTGGTTTTGTTCTATATTTCTAGCGTAAGTAATTTAAAAGTGTAGTTTAAACAATTTGTGCTTCATGTTGTTTATCTTCCTGTAGGAGACAGTTGTAGTTCAGTCCACCCTGACCAAAAGGGAATCAAACTGAGAGGAGACCTCATCACTCTCTAGAAATACCTGAAAGGAGGGTGCAGTGAGGTGGGTGCTGGCCTCTTCTCTAAAGTAACAACTGACAGGACAAGAGGAAATTGACTCAAGTTGCACCAGGGGGGAGTCACCATCCCTGGAGGGGGTCAAGAAACGTGCAGATGTGGTGCTTGGGGACATGGGTTAGTGGGTTGGGTGGGGTTGGGTTGATGGTTGGACTTGATGATCCTTGAGGTCTTTTCAACCTTAATGATTCTATGATAGTTCCTGGGACACAAATGTTTGATGAACATAAGGATTCTGTCCTTTTGTCCAGATCACTTCTGGCTTTTTCTGTGCATGTGGTTGGCATTGAATATGCCACGAAAAGCTGCTTTTGAAAGTTAAAGAGCAGGTCTTATGCTTTACTGACTCTTGCTTCAGCTTTATTGAAAGTGCACAAATATGTGGCTGATATACTCGTGGCAAAAACAACTGAAGTTATATGATTCTCTTGAAAACAAAGTGTGGGGGTTTCAACCTTCTTTTTAAAATTAAATACTATTAACAGTGGTCTTCCCTAGTTCTTTGAGTTTAAACTCCACTGATACCAGTGGAATCTTAAAAACTGTAAGAAGCATCTTGAAGTACCCAAAGTATGAGTAACTTCAAATTCAGTCAAGATGTAATTTGAGCAGCACATTTTAATGTAATACAAAGTATACCAGGAAAATCCTAATTCATGCCAAGGATGCTAATGCAAAGCACTTCTTCTCATGACTGTAAATCAATTGGGACCAATCTGTCTGCACTCTGGTTACTTAACTAATTTTGTCTGCATTTTTCTATTGTTATTTACAATGTCATTCTAACTCCATAGCCACACTTTACTATAGTAACAATATTACCTTGCACCCTCAAATCTACAAATTGTCTTTTGTGTTAGAAAATACCAGATTTGGCAGAAATAATCCCTTCAAAAATTAAAGCATGAGTTGGATTTCTCACTACGTGCATGCTAAGAGCTGTAAATGTTTCTGTTTATACTTTGACATCAGAATCAAGAAAAGGTTGTTAACTGTGCAAATTGAGCCAATCTGAAAAAAACTACATCAATATATTTAAGCCCAGCTTTATGGGAAGGGACATTTCATGTTTTTCCTACAGAAAGAGCCTTGTAATACAGACACAATATGCTTTTTACTGGGATTTGCCAATCCAATATATGTGAAATCCTGTTAAGATTTCAAACCTGAAGGTTTATTATGTAGGGTGCTTATTAGGTTTATTATGTATAGGTGCTTATTAGGTTTATTATGTATAGGTCCTTAAAAATGGAGCATTTGTAGTGCTAAAGTGAACTGCTATTGCCAGAGTTTATTTTACTGCGAAAAAAAAAAGAAAGGAAATGAGCATTTTTAATAGAAGACTAGTGTGTTTTAAAGATGACTGTCTTGGGTAGAAGCTCTCTTCTTTTAAAAGAAGTTCTGCAAGTTCTGAAATACTCAGAACTCTGATGTGTTTAGAGCTTCACAGAGAAATGGTCATTTGACTTTCCAGGCCTTGTTCCATCAGAATCAATGACAGATCAAGACTGCTTGCCGAACAATACCTCATCATCGTGTGTGGAAGGAAATGGCAGTAAGACCAGCACTTTTCC